AGTGTTGGCATTATGGGCTAAGCCCTTAAATGGTTTGAATCATATCTGGCAGATTGGAGTTTTGCTGTCCACCGTTTGCTCCTCTGTCTCGTGGGGTCCCCCAAGGTTCCATTTTGGGACCTATGCTCTTTTCTTTGTACATGCTGCCATTAGGGTCCATTTATTTATTTATTTATATTTCTTTTCACTGCTTTGCTGGTGATGTTCAAATCAACGAGAAGGATAATCTCTAGCCTTTGCTGAACTGCCTGAGTGAACTAAAAATTTGGTTGGATCAGAATTTTCTCTCTTTAAATGACAATAAGGCTGAAATTGCTGTATTTGGTCGTGCGGTACATTTTGATGTCTGTGTAGATGCTCTTATTTCAGGATCCCATGTTTGACCTTTTACCTAGAATCTGGGTGTGATTTTTGATAATGCTTGTAAAATTGATAAACAGATTAGTTCAGTTGTTAAATCCAGTTTTTTCACAGCAGAGGCTTCTGGCGAAGGTCAAGCAATACCTGCTAACAAAGACTTTAAAGAGTCATACATGCTTGTATTACATCCCGTTTAGACTACTGTAATTCTTTGTATGTTGGATTGGAGCAGTCATCACTTTGTCGGTTACAGTGAGTCCAGAACGAAGCAGATCAACTTCTAACCCGGGACTAAAAAGCGTGACCATATTTCACCAGTTTTAGCCACATTGGACTGGCTTCCTGTTTGTTTCAGGATTGAATTTAAAATTGTATTAATGGTTTTTAAAATCTTAAATGGGATGTCACCATCTTATTTATCTGAGCTCTTACATGTCCACACAACTGTCAGAGAGCTGAGGTCTTGTGATCAGTTACTCCTCGATGTGCCCAGATCTAGGTTGAAGAATAAAGGTGACAGAGCCTGTGCAGTGGCTGCTCCATACCTCTGGAATAGTTTACCTATAATAACATTCAAGTCCTTGCTTAAGACCCATTTGTTTTGCCTTGGCTTTCAATTCAAGTTGAGCTTTGAAATCTTGACCAATTGTTGCTTATTTTATTGTGTATTTTTTGTTTTGTTTTATTTTTTTATCTTGAATTTTGTTAAAGAGCAACATGCAGGTTGAATTTATTTCTGAATTAATACTTTAAATTGTCTGCAGAGGTCTCTTAAAAATACATATGTAGAAATTACTAATGAAATCTCATTTGATGTAGAGATTTTGATGAAAATGGGCTAGGCTCTGGAATACACCTTTCCCGCTAGCAACGCGTTATGTGACGTAGGCCGAGGCAAACAAAAGAGCTTGCAGTCCGCTTTCTCATTGTTGGGTGAGCAGTAGTGAGAGACAGAAAGTTTTAGATCGAGCATACTGGTAAATTATTGTGTTTGTGCTGGTTGCACGAATTCCAGCCTGTCAGGACATAGTCTGTTTGCACTGTTTATGCCGAGGTTTACCGCAGTCTGCTGGATCCAAGCCGTATCCGGATCTGATGAAGGACCTGCACATGGACATGATGACAACACAGTCCTGAAGTGTCAACTAATCTCTCCCCTGTGAAGGCCTCCTTCCATTTACCTCTACAGATAAAACGTTGTTGGGATAATTCTGGTTCACGTGGCTACGCGGAAGCAATAAATAATTCTTTATTATACATTTTTAAGGCCAGACAAGTAGTTTGTTGTGGGTTGGTTTGTAAAGAAGGACTACATGCCTGCGCACATTCAAACGTGCATACCTATAGACTAAACATGTGATGCGCATGTGCGCATTTGAGCTTTGCGCAGAAATAACCTTTCCCCCCCCAACATTTTTCACGGCTTGCACCTTAGAATCTATTTCAGGGATTGCGTTCTCGAGCCACTAGACACTGTTTTGTGTGGATGAGTGAGCCGGAACGTGTTGAGTGTTTTCTGTTTGAAAGGCCCTAAGTTAATAACTAATGATCTTTGCAACGGAAGTGAATCAATAAATTAAAACTAACTTTAGCTGGAAAATAAATGTATTCTAGAGCTACTGCAAAGCCAAAAGAATCTCTGTTGCTGTGATTACCTGTTGTCACTGAGCTGCTTTGAGTCAGTCTGTATTGTTAAAAGCACTATATATGTATATATATATGAAGGTGACTTGACTATTAACACAGTATATTGTGCCCTTTTTATTGACTTTTCTTGGAGTGTATTATTTAGAAAACTTTTGTTTTTGTTTAACATTTCAGTTATTCTTGTTTCAGTTTTGAAACAGTTGGTAGACCCAAAATCTGTGAATTCTGACAAAAATATTTTTATTTTTCAAGGAAAAAAAAACAAGGTAATGTTATAATAAATGTTTTAGCAGGAGCAGATTCAATCTGGAGGGCTCTTAAAGGCATGAAATTGACTTGTTTTTCCCTCCGTCTGCAGCATTTGACGAGTGATCTGTCACATGACAAATGTACCCGAAACAAACATGGCATCCTCCAGGGCACATACCCCTCATGGGTCCGTTAACAACAAAACATCTGCCTTTGAGATTAATAAAAATGTTAAGGGAAAGTGGATGACAGGTTGTGGCTATAATTATTTTGCAATCAGTGAGGAATCAGTGATTACACATATCACAGTTAAGCATTTATTAGATATTAAAAACTATATTTACCCTGCACCTTCATTTCTCCTTGGATTTAAAGGTAGGGTAGGAAATTTTCATAAACATGATTTGGAATGTAAATGCACGTCCTGAAAAAAAAAAAAAAAAATATATATATATATATATATGAAGAGTTCAGATGCAAAAGCCTCTATGTGCCATTTGAAATTTTCTTCTAAAATGATCATTTTTATCAAGCTTATATATTCAAGTTCAGTAATTTCACTTAAATGACAAATGACAAACTCTTCATATATTAGAAGTGGTCTATATATATATATATATATATATATATAAAATGTACATATAACTTCTGTGGAAGTCTCTGGACAAAAAAAAAAAAAAAAAAGTTTGTCCAACAGGATGTCCAATCTGCCTGTCAACCTGTTTTTCCCATACCTCCATGGATCTTGCTTGCGCAATATAATGAAATGAAATATAATGCATTTACAAAACGAATCTTACATGTTCTTATTGGTTAAGCATTTCTTTTGTAAACATCAGAACATGGCAGAAACTGCAAAACAGCGGCATTAAAAAAACCCCAAACACCCCACTTTTCGTGTTTAATTGAGCAGCTTCAATGAACATTAGTTCATTTTTCGGTTTCATGTATCTTTTGGTATCCCTGGTAACACGTGGGTGTCTGTATTCATCTCTGGCTTTTATACACGGAAACGTATGAACACTTTTTGCCCAGGCTCATTCACACACTTCCTCTCTATCACACAAAAGCTAATAATTTAAGCTCAACATGTGTGAGAAGCATGTGCAAGTCACATGATTTATTGAAAAGCAATTGAGGAACCTCTCGGCAGTATGCCGTTGATAAGCAAGCCAGATTCAATCAGAAAAACTGAAAGCTCAATAAACCAACAAACAATCACCCTCGTCCTTTGATCTCCTCAGACTACATCAAGTTTTCAATCAGTTTGAACCTTGTATTGAGACCCTATATTGCTGTAAAAAAATCCAGATTTTCTTTTGTGAATCCCATTTTCAGTATGTATCCACCTTGAAATGTCAGTTCGATTTGTATATGAAACTACAATCAAGGCTTATTTCAAGGTCAAGAATGAACCATCTTGTGCAGCATATCATTAATAACAGACTGAAGACTTTTACATTATTAAAGGTGCATCAAACCTTTAATCTAGTCTCTTTTTTCTACAGCATTCGAATAGGTAATGTTTTAAAACATATTCTGCTGTAAGAGAAAAACATTGTTTGAGCTTTAAAGTGGGATTTATGTAAACATATTACACAATTACATTTACAAAACATTTTGTAGGAGTATTTGTAAAATTAAGCTTCTCTTTGCTGCCCCACAGACATATGATTTGCATTTGTTTACTTCATTATTGCTTATGTAATGACTTGCTGTTCACTTACAGTGGAAGCGCATACCTGAGAGCTCCCGTGGTGCAAGGTGATAGAGTGATTAAAACGAGAAGGAGAGGAGAAAGAAACAAGGAACTTGTTGTGCAGCAACTTTCTAAAGCATTATAACACATTTACCACAGTACATTAGCTACACTCACATTCCTCATAACGAGCAAATCCAAAATAACGGCTTTGAATTTTCAATTATTGTTGATTATTATATACATCTACACATCTTATGTGTTCATGATTAATCAACTTTATTGCTTTTGGCAAGATCTGCAGTATGATGTTATCGTGACGACATTGTGCTTAATGTGCATCTACTAGAACAGTTGCTGGTATAAATATTTCAGACATTTTAATTGATTTTACGCTCCACTAACATGACATTAATATGAAACTGCTGTTCCTCTTCAAACTTACAACTTGCAGTGTCTCTCTCTCACACTCACACCCACGTACACACACACACATTTAAATTCAGCTATGTTATTGTCATCTGGATTTATAATGAATCGTGTTCATTTTAATTGACTCAAAACTGGAATAATCATAAAACTGGAATGATCTGTTTGTAATGTCGGTGTCATGTGTCCTCCTTTCCTCAAGGCTGTAAATAAATTCAGTGTCCTCAGTGTATTAAAGGGTTAGTTCACCCAAAAATGAAAATTAAGTCATTAATTACTCACCCCCATGCTGTACCAACCCCGTAAGATCTTCGTTCGTCTTCGGAACACAAATAAAGATATTTTTGATTAAATTTGAGAGCTGTATAACTACCACATTGGCTGCCTAAGGGACTGCCTCTTGACGGCCCAGAAAGTCAATGAAGAAAATGTTTAAATATCCCAAGTGACTACCGTGGCTCAACTATATGTTTATCAAGCGACGAGAATACTTTTTGTGCGAAAAAACAAACAAAAATAACGAGTTTATTCGACTATTCCTTTTCTTCCTTGTAGGCCAGAAACGAGATTTCCTTAGATTTCCACGACGCATGCGCGAGAATTGCTATCTTTTTCAACTACTTCAGATCAGTTCTCGCGCATGCGTCGTGGAAATCTAAGGAACTCTCGTTTCTGGCCTACAAGGAGCGATAACTGAATACCAAAAAGTGAATCACAAAATGGCTTCTGTGCTTTCTGGTTACAGACAATAAATGCTTCATCTATATGCTTCTATTTTGAATCAAACAACAGCCAAAAAACTATTCTGACTGAAAGCTCAGGAGAGTTTTACACCATGTTAGAATCATCAGCAATCACAATACCACCTGTCCACCAAATTACAAGATCAGTCAAAAAACGAATTCTAGAAAAAAAAGCAACCTTAAAGCTTTTACATTCTATTCGGTTATTTCCAGGATGAGGTCATCCCCTTCCAGGCTGCTGTCGGGATTGACGTGCACCTTGGATATTGTGCCTGAGATTGGCGAGTTGACGACGGTCTCCATTTTCATGGCGCTGAGTACGCAGAGAGGCTGACCTTTCTCCACTTTCTGGCCTGGCTTCACCTTTACTTCCACCACTTTACCGGGCATGGGAGCTCCAACCTGTCCCCGCACGTCTTTCAAGGCTTTAGGGTGAAAGTGCATCTCCTGGCGAAGCAGAAAAGAGAATGAGACGATTGCAGGAGAGACCAGAGGCAATGAAATATTTGACACATTTTCCTTCACAACTATTTCCAAACTGCCAGCCATCTTCTGCAATGAGAAACATGATTAAATGGACAATGAGAAAGATCATGATGAATTTGTGCACTCCTCAAACATAATGTTTCTGCTTGAGTAATATATATTTTTAATAGACAACTAATTAAACTGTGCAGCCTTGTTATACACACTATATATATACTATTTCTAATGTTATTAAATTTATATATAAGGTGCTTTTGCACTGCGGTTTTCTAGGAATTTAGCCACCAGAATGGTTCCATGAGAACTAATGGTTCCCCTTGAAACATTATCCGCTTTCCGACCAAGTAGTTACAGGAACTTAGTTATAGGAACTGTCCACTTCTAAACAGTTCTAAGAACTATACTCTCCCCCAAACTCGGTTTTGCTGCTTGCGTTCGCACTGGCCAAGTGGCCATAGGAACTGGTAGGAGGGGTAACGCAAGCACAGCGACGGGCTTTATAGCGTCATCACTAGACGTAGCGCGGCTATTGCAATGTTCCTGTTCTGCCTTGCCGGGACCTTAATAACGGAGAACTAACGGCGGCGTTTAAAGATTATGCTTGAGTTCTGTACAGAGAAACACAGAAGACAAAGGCTCCAGCGTGATATTAAAGGGTTAGTTCACCCAAAAATGAAAATTAAGTCATTAATTACTCACCCCCATGCTGTTCCAACCCCGTAAGACCTTCGTTCATCTTCTGAACACAAATAAAGATATTTTTGATTGAATCTGAGAGCTGTCTCACTACCACATTGGCTGCCTAAGGGACTGGCTCTTGACGGCCCATAATGTCATTAAAGAAAAGGTTTAAATATTCCATGTGCCTACAGCGGCTCAATTATAAGTTTATCAAGCGACGAGACTACTTTTTGTGCGAAAAAAACATACATAACGACTTTATTCCACTATTCCATTACTTCCTTATGGGCGCATGCGTGAGAACTGAGACGAGGACGTTTTCCTTCTTGTTACCGGCTGCTCACCGCTTAGGAGTATTATCGCCACCTACCGTATAAGATGATGATATACTGTAGCTGGAAGCGCCAAACTTTCCAGTTTACAAGCAGAGGAAGATGCGCGCTGTTCATAAGGTTTTCAATTAGCGTATTTTCAGCACTATAAGGTGCACTTAAAAGCCTTTAATCTTCTAAAAAAAACGATATATATGGATCATCATCTCATACGGTAGGTGGCGATAATACTCCTAAGCGGTGAGCAGCCGGTAACAAAACGTAGCCGAAGGAGAACGTCCTTATCTCAGTTCTCGCGCATGCGCCCATAAGGAAGTAATGGAATAGTTGAATAAAGTCGTTATTTATCTTTTTTTTCGCACAAAAAGTAGTCTCGTCGCTTGATAAACTTATAATTGAGCCGCTGTAGGCACATGGAATATTTAAACCTTTTCTTTAATGACTTTATGGGCCGTCAAAAGCCAGTCCCTTAGGCAGTCTATGTAGGACTGATCCAGCTCTCAGATTCAATCAAAAATATCTTTATTTGTGTTCCGAAGATGAACGAAGGTCTTACGGGGTTGGAACAGCATGGGGGTGAGTAATTAATGACTTAATTTTCATTTTTGGGTGAACTAACCCTTTAAGTAATATGATAGAAGAAGATAAAAGAGTTTAGCTAGCATTAGCAATTAGCTGGTTGAATGCGTTATGTTTGTCTTAATCCTCGTTGTAATGTTTTGCAAAAACACACAGCGTATGGCAGACAGCACGCTACAATTTCCTTGTTGACAGTGGGCATGACTTATAAGTTGAACCAATCAACGTAGACCTAGGGAAAGGGAACTAAAAAAGTCCTCGCTCTAGACTAGGTACTGAAAGAGTTATAGGAACTACGGTCTGAGGAACTAAAAAAATCCTACAAATTCATTTTTTTCTGTTAAGCTTAATGTCGAACCATTTTCTTCTCACTTCTGGGACTGTTTGATTAACAGAAGAAACTCCATTAACTGCATCTGTAATATCCTGCCAACTTCCTTTTTTAGGACCTGATACGCCACTATGTACGCTACGCTTGAAAATAAAATGTGGCGTTTTGAATGAACTTCTGATAATAAAACCTCAATTTCTGCATCCGAGAAATCTTTCTTTTTAATTCGCATTCACGTTATTATATGCCTATATATAGATGTCAGTCGGATATAATGGGCCTGATTTATGGTAATTGAGAATGAACGTGCACGCGCATCCCATTAACGACAGGTTGGAAGTCATTAACACACACACACACATTTCACTATCACATCTGTGCCACAGTCCTCTTCTGCACCAGTCTGTCTTCGTCTCCTGCACTACACTTCCCAGGATCCTCTTGTCTCCACACCTGAACTCACTCCCTCAATCAGCCACCGGTTCATCGTCTTGTTCATCTGTATGGCTATATGCACGCATAAGTTCCGCATTTGACGCAAGGATGCTCGTCCATTTCCGGTTGTGGAGATTTAAGTGGAGGAGAACAGAGGAAAACGGGATTATGGCAGAGTCTTCAAAATTTACTGTCCTCCCGTCTTTGAAACGAAACGTACATACGTTTAGATGTAATTTTATACATAGTTATGTTTATTTAATATAATTTTAAAAAGAAGCATAAACACAATGAGGGGTGTCTGTTTTATCTGTTTTTGTGACTAACGTTTCTTTATTATAACCATGTAGTATAAAATTCAATATAAATTCTCGGTTTTGCATTGGACTCCTTATCAAGCATCCTTAATCCTTCACCGGAAATACCGCAGTGCATAGAGCCCATTACCTGTATTCACCTTGTTATGTTTGATTCTTGCTTGTAGTTTGCTTCAGTTCAGTATGTCCTCGTCGGTCGATGTTAATGTTCAATGAGTGTGTGTGTGTGTAATCTTCTGCCTGTCTTCCTTGTACCCGTTTGGAGTTTTTGAGTAAATGTTTTGAATTGGAGCTTTGCGTCAGCCTCAGCCTGTCTTCATTCCACACTACACCGTGACAATCTGACGTTTACGAAGTATTTGTGAATCAGGAGAAGGGTTTTCGGGAAGGTCTCTTTACGCGCAAATCACTCTCATATTTACTCATATATTTACGAATGTTTCATGAATGAGACCCATTGTGTGTTTACACAGCTTTTTTTAAAAATGGAGGGTGCTGGTTTTTCGCATGTGTTTGGCCAATCGGTGTAGCCTACTAACGTCACTGGTAGTTTATATAGAGCTGAAATTTCATACTCTGAAATAGGTGATAAATTATTTCCTCCAAAATGAGTTCCTAGAACTAAAATCGTTCCTAGTTCCTGCAGTGTTATGTCTTATAACGTATTATTGGACTATTATTATTATCAGGACTGTTAGACAGATTATATATATATATATATATATATATATATATATACATATATGTACATATAATTGCTTATATGTTCATTAAAAATAAATAGTATAGTATACTGAAGTGATGCAATTTCATTTCACAACTGGTGTCACATAACTATTGTTCCCCTAACTTCACACCTATGATGAATAAGGCAGAAGCCAGCGACAGTGTTATTATCTGTCATTCATATTAAACGTTTAACAAATAGCCTAGAGATAAATCAGAATACATTTTTCATTTCAAAGGCATACAAAAATTCAGACAGCACAAGAAAAATGTTGGTACTGCAAAATGAACTTCATGTGACATGAGGAGAAATGCTCTTGCTAATTGTGTTTAATAATAATAATAATAATTCGTTACATTTATATAGCGCTTTTCTGGACACTCAAAGCGCTTCACATAGAAGGGGGGGGGGGGATCTCCTCAACCACCACCAATGTGCAGCATCCACCTGGATGATGCGACGGCAGCCATATTGCGCCAGAACGCTCACCACACACCAGCTTACTGGTGGAGAGGAGACAGTGATGAAGCCAATTGGTGTATATGGGGATGATTAGGAGGCCATGATAGACAGAGGCCACTGGGCAAATTTGGCCAGGATGCCGGGGTTACACCCCTGCTCTTACGAAAGACATCCTGGGATTTTTTATGACCACAGAGAGTCAGGACCTCGGTTTAACGTCTCATCCGAAGGACGGATGTTTAGGCAGAAGGCGAGCTCTACTGAGAGCATATGCTGAGCAAGTGTCATTACTCTGACTTATCTGTGACTGAAGGCGCTAAATGTGTTTGGGCCATTCTCTGTCTGCCAATCAAGACAATAACACATCAAGAGTATTTACAGAGGGTGGAAACCATCTTCCAGAGTAGGACAGACTATATCAATGTTTTTTTTTTAATTAATCATCTTAAACATGATGTTTTTTACGTGTGGGGAGTGGAAGTGAGAACTTCAGTTTAGTCAAATCATTCTATAATCCGCCAAATTATATTTTTACAAGCAGTGTAATAAGGTTAAAATTTCTGTGTCCACGGCTGACATAAACTTTCCACATAGCACTATTGACTTGTAATGAAAACATAAGGTGTGTTCCATTGCCTGTAAGTGGACTGCGAAGTCACCATCTTAAGTGAGATTCCAATCCGAAGGGAGCGAACATGTTCAGTTCGAAAGGACCTGCGAACGGCATAGGGAATAAGGGAATATCGATACATCCCTTCATAGGAATTGGAGAGTGAAAATCACCCAACTGTCTTTGTGCATCGCATCACCAGTCAGAACTAAGAATGGAGCAGAGCCGTTGAAAGAGTTTTTTTTAATGGCTCTGTGATGGAGGAATTTACGTATTCGTTTTAAATAGCCTATGTATACATTTTGTAATTATTATACAAACTAGAGCATTTATGAACGGTTATAGTGATGAATGTTACACTTGCATATTCTATTGTATGAATAGGCGTGACAAAGTAAAAGTGTTGAGAAGTGGATGAGGCTCGGTAACTTTTTTATTTTACACAATTTAAGTCAGGAATATTTGCTATGCGGCTGTGCGTGGAAAAGTAAGAGGTCAAAGTGCATGGGATAAGACCCAGACCATGGATTAAGAACACATTTCCATGTAGTTAATCAAATAGTTTATTTTCATATAGCATTACAGTTCTGCTTTAAATCTGCTAATAGTCTATTAATTGTCGCAAGTCATGTTAAGAAGGCTATATAAAGATGTATCCTAAGTTTTGATTATATTACATAAAGTACAAAATGTGTGTTTTGTGTATGTATTGTATGTTTTTGTATTTTATATATACATATTTAAATTTAAATTTTGAAAGTAATTTATAATATCTATTTATGTTTTATCCAACACATTCTCATGTGTTGCATAAACAACTTTCTTTGACGACATTTGCATGTGTGATTATTGTCAGCTTCAACTGATCCACCGTGTTCAGGGAGTAGGGAGCAGTGAACACTGTGTAGGGACCCTGTCGAATGGAACGCAGCTATACATTGCACGCCCTAATAACTTAAAAGATGTTTTAACCCTTGTGCATCCTTATGGACATTTTTGTCCTTTTCAGTTTTGTTTTTTTGATCACTTTGCCTGTGTTAAAGCTAACTGCAAAAAACTTGGCACAGGTATGTATTTTTATTGGAATTTTACTATTTCACCATTATTTTCTTAAAAAATATTTTTTGCATTTGGTTCCCTCTCAGCACCTTTTGGACAAAAATGTCCCCATTGAAACCCATTAAAACTGCCATTTTTAATCCCCGGTTCAGTTAACTATAAAATTATGCAAACTTTGTTAAGAGGCTTTCATTCTGATGGCAAGGCTTCAAAATTTTATTTTTTACTATTTTTTATCAGATGGTGCCATTTTTTTTGAGTTTGGCCTATAAAACAAATATCGCTTTATTCCTGTTTTCTGGTTCGGCATACTATAGAGCCAACTGGATAAATTATGCAACAATATTTGTGTGGGTGTGTTGGTATGGATGTTAGAGTGTGGTTAGTATGTGTGTTATAAAAAAATGTGTGTGTGTGTGCGCATGTGTATGTTTGTAATACCGAGAGAGAAAAACTGCAAATTCAAATCCAATCACTGTGAGCACCAGTGGGGTTTTGCTGGCACCCAATGGGGAAAATATGTTACAACGCCCAAACAAACTGTTACCGAAAGCTCATTTTTTGAGATATCATCCTCAAATTTGGAACACAACCTATTTAGTTTTATGGCTTTGATTTTATTGCAGTTTTGAGTTCAACCTGATTTATAAAATATATATTTTATATAAAATATGTTTTATAAATAATTTTCATAAACTTATACCTATATAACTTTTTTTTTTATTTACTTATAATTATTATTTTACATCAGCAATAATCTGCAAAGGGTCTTCTTTAAAATGAAACCAAACTTAAGTCTGTGCTCCAAAGTGTCACATTTTTATGACAGTTTTTTGACATGGACATTTTTGTCCTCTTTTTACCTATGTGTAACTTTTTTTAATTGATGCACAAGGGTTAACACTTTTTTTCACTCTAAGTGATAAACGCCTATGACAGCAAGAGCAAGATCATTTTTAGCTTATGACAGAAATTATTCACACCTCGAGAGACAAAATGGAACATTCGCAAAACATGTCTGAATGATTGAGTGTACTGTTTGCGTCAGGATAATTGCTTTTCAGTGATGAAACAAACCAATCGAGGGAATAAAATAAACAGAAAACAGTTACCTTCATTGCTGCCGCATCCTTGACCAAGACTGAACGCAGCTGGCCGTTGAGTTCAAAAAACACTTCTCTCTGACCAGACTTGTTCAAGTCACCCAAGGCCAAGGCTTTGATGTGCAGCGTTTTCCCTCTCTCTAACTCAACCTGTGAGAGGAAAGAGCCAGAAACATATTAAGACACTATGAAGAGCTAGGTATGGAAAATGAAAAACAACAACAACAAAAAACTTGGGTAGAATTAAGGTAGATTAAGGGATGAGTGATTAGCTCAGGCCTCTGGGATGCATTAGGTCTGTACCATGTGCTGTTTGGCTGTGGAGGGGATGCTATTTTGGGGTGTGCTTGCATTTGCCTCACTGACAGCTTAATATAGCTCATGCTAATCTACACTAATCAGCCACGACTAACATCCCATTTGGACAGCTCGACTGGGTGGAGAAACACGCCGCCAAATAACTTCAGTCCCTGAGAAATTTATGATTACGCATAACAAACGAGGAATATCTGGTCCGTTTTGAAAGAGTACAGAGAGACCTGGTTTGAAGAATCAGGCCAGCAGATGATTAAGACATGTAAGCAATCTAACAGATTTGGTCCTGTAAAAAGACTTTGTAGGTGAGTTTGATCCCTGGCTGTCTCGGAGCGTGATCAGCTATGCGAGTCGTGCATCTGGTGCTCTCAGTTCTCGTGGTGCCTGCAGTAGGACTGCCAGGTAACACCCACTTAACTCATAATGGGGTTTTAGATGCCAAACACACGGCTAAGCTCCAATCAACACATTTAGAAACACCCCAGGGCTCATCTAGATAGAGGTACAGCTGTACCAGTTTGAGATTATTTAGGAGCTAGCATTGATTAAGCTAAAAAAAAAACTTGCACTATTGAACTTTACAAAGTCTAAAATATAATTTATGGTTTATCTGACTTCACGGCACCTTAACAAATAGAGCCTAGATGTTCAAAGCAATATATTTTGAACACAAAGTTCAATTCAATCTTACTATACAAATCAATTTTACAACCACTGTTGCAATAAAGTGTGCTAATAAAACTTTGTGAACATGGAGGCTAGTTAAGGAAATCTAATTTTGCAAATCTCTCAGGGAGACTCAGGGTAAAGTTTAGAAGGTCACACTCACATCCCGTGGTGTTATAAATCTAATATAGTTGAGAAATCAGTAAGAAGAAATGAGGCACAGTGATAAGGAAATGAAGTCAATCGATGTTGTGAGTCGCAGCATGTCCTCACATATCACAGTGTAATTGAAATGTACCTGAAACTCCTCTGCGATTTTGGGGCCGTCCAGAAACAGGCGAGTGTTAAGGCAGTCCACCGGGCCGAAGTTTGATGTGAACTCTTTAAACTCCTGGAAAACTTTGGGGTACATGGCGGCTGACATCACATCTTCAGGGGTGATTTCATCACCATATGTCGATCGTAGACCAGACTCAAGAGCCTCAAAATCCATCGGAGGAAGTGAAGCCCCGGGGCGACCTTCGGTTCTAGGCAACGACTTGAGAACCTTTGAGAAACATCAAAAGTTTAACTTGTTAAGGGCATATAGCCTACTATGGCGCAACTATCAGAGTACTAGCTGAGCACAACTGAACTAAAAACCAAAAATGTACGTTCTGAAGCTCTGTCTTTAAGTCAAGTCAAGCAATTTTTACAATACAGATTGTTTCAAAGCAGCTTTACAGTGATAACAGGAAAATGATTCAATGATGCAAACAGTTCATTTTGGCTGCACAGCAGCTGTAAAAGAAAAATGTGTCATTGTTTATCTTTCATTCAGTTCCATTGTATCATCAATTATTAGTTAAACTATAAAGCAGTTCTGCAGAAAACAGTAATGTCATCATCCAGCTCAGTTCAGTTCACCTCCAATAGCGTCAGTGCAGTCAAGACATTTTTATTGTTGAATATTAAGATTGCCATTATAGAAACTCTCCCTAGATTTCCCTGACATGTTCATACGAGTTTCTTAAAGAAGAAGGACCAATCGTTCTTTTCAGTTTCAATGAATCTGCTGGTACAATTCACAAAAACTCGGTCACGAATCGTACTGATCCAGTTCCCAAGTACAACTCAATGACCCAGTTGCAGTGGTTATCAGCCCACTGGTGCAGAAGATTATGTAAATAATGGCTTATATTACGGTCTTTCTCACAAGCATGATGAGTCATTTGCACCCCTTTTATGATTCTGTGGTGTTTTTTATTTTATTTAGAGGTTGACAGCAGAGACATGCCACTTCCTCAATCCTTAATACAAATGTACAAGGGAAAACCCGTAACACCAAAGATGGCGGGTGTATGCACATGTCCCGCCCCTTCCACTGGACAGCCAATCGTCTGCTTTTAACAGTCAAGCCAGGAAACATTTAAGCCTATCGGTTCCACTGACGCATGTGCACAGTTGAGGTTTGCGACAGGGGAAAATACGTTACTGTTTGAAAAGGTGGCAGATTTGATATGCACTGTATGTGTGCGTTGTGTAAATATCAGACATTCCAAGTCTCCCAGAAGTTCCGGGTGTCTCCCGCAGATTGATAGCGGCTCGCTGATGCCCGCAAATTAGTTAAAATCTCCCGGAATCTAGAGCGAGCGATCAGTAGCGCGCACATACTGTGTTTCAAACACTGCTGTTTCTATACATGCAGTTTTTATGTCCCGGTGACCAGTGAAAGTGCGATTCTGACTCTCTGCCCATTCATTTAGATAAGAGCCTGGGGCCTCATTTATAAACGTTGTGTACCCACAAAAGAAGGCGTATGCCGCTCTTTACACAATAGTTGGTATTTATAAAAAGCAAAATTGACGGTGAAATGTGCGGTCCTTCACGCAAGCTCTGACCCAAACATACTCACAAAAACGGGTGAAATGAGAAATGGCGACACCGTAATACTGCCTCTCATAAATAACACGAAGACTTCACAAAGCAAGTCTTACAATCAACAGCCTACACAAACACCCGTTTGATCGATCTGTAACAGAAAAGCAAATTAACACATATTTCCAAAAAGAAAGAAATATGTTCTTCAATAATATTGGCATATGTACAATTCATCCTCATAAATAAGATGGTAAACAGAACGAAATAATGTACAAAACTGATATTCTCGCCAATATGTCCTTCTAACGGAGCAGATATAGCAATTAGACAGTCAGTCAGATAGATAGATAATTAGGGAGATATATGAGCCCATTCTCATCCCAAAGCGCCATATAGGACGCTTTTGCAAAAGCGTAAATATCCAACGCACATGGCACCCTTTAACGTCTAATGAGACGCTTCGGTTAGGGTTAAGTTTAGGTAAGGTGTAGGGTAAGGGTTAGACCACTAGGGGGCGCCTTCTGCCCAAATATATCTGCGTCCCATTTCACGTTAAAGGGTGCCATGTGTGTTGGATATTTACGCTTTTGCAAAAGCGTCCTATATGGCGCTTTGGGATGAGAACGCGTTGGATATATAGCTAGATAGATCAATAAATATATAGATGTATTATTTGTCCACTGGGGAAAGTTGTTTTCATCGTAAAAATATCTTCATCAGCTACGGAATCATGGTATTCATGCATATGCCTTTAGTTTGTTTTATATTTGATTAAATAACGTATGACGTGTCTCAACCATTCAGAAAGCTGCAAGAAATTACATTTGCGCTGAACTATTTCCCATTTAGATTATAACCAACATCCGTAGCTTGTCAGATGCAGGCGATTAAATGGAATGATTCGGAGTGAACGCATCATCTTCACAACAAAAGGTGTGGAAAATATATATTTTTTATTCAAGAATTCCCTCATTGTGCAGTTTATTTCAGTTAGGACAGTCTTGATTTCGCCCAACTCCTTGGCCACCTCTCTAATTGAATTAATGACTAGACGCTTTTTTGCCTCGACTTTGATATCCGACCATTTCTTTTTTTATTTTGGCCACAGTCCGAGGTTGTGAGGCTACAGCATTTACGGCGTCTGCAACCTTTTGCCACTCAAGAGCCTTTTTGGCATTAGTAATGCACAAACAACATTTTTCTCCTCTTTTCCACCTCGCCAACAATAACTTCTACTTCACATTGAGTGAAGTTATGTTTTTTTTAAAATTCCTCTCTGTGTTAAACATGATTTCGCAATTGATGAATATTAACTTGTGGGCGTTTCACGGACTATTTATGGGCAACTGTGGGCGTGACATGAAGCCGCAAGAGCTGCGCTACATTTAGAATTGATTGTGATTTATTAAGGGAAAAATGCGTAGGATGCACGGTTTTATAAATCCGAATATTTCTGTGCGTACGCACGTCCTATGTTTCATCCGTATGCCACTTCTGACGCAAATCCTACGCAAAGTTTTATAAATGAGGCCTCTGGTCTTGTTAAGTCCGAAATAGCTGCCTGGAGGCGTTGCCAAGATGGCGGCCGAGTGGCTTGACATGCCTAAAAGGACTTTGTCGACAGTCACTGTCCAGATTCCCTTTCATTATATGGAAAAAAGTAGTATATTTTACAAAAATGAATCATTATGAAGTAAATATTGGAAATTTCTTTTTTATTTTATTTTTATAATTATATTTTGAGAGAACTATTCCTTAAATAAAACTGGAGAATTGCCAAGAAGAATTTGTCTTGAGTGAAATGCCCTCCTCATGACAACCAATCCAGGTTTCAGATGTTGACAGACCAAAAACAAGACAGCTATAGAGTGATGTGAGTCAGTCTTCAGGTCACTGAAATGCATAAATATTGAACAAATGAATCAACAGTACCATTCACTATCTTACAATGTCTTTGTCCTCTGGCAATTGACTGACTTTGCAAGCTCAAACATACTAAATACATCATTAGTACTGTCAGAGTGGGCGTTAATGAACAAAAGCACAAACACTTTGACAAATAGGTCAACTGCAAAGGAGAAGCAAAACCACCAACATGACATTAAAATGACTCAATTCATTATGTACAAAAATTGCTGATTGTTTGGTGTTGGCAAGGCAACTAACCAGCCAAGTAACACTATTTTCTCCTTTTTTGTTTCACAGCAGTGAGAATGAATTGAAAAATGGTCCTTGGACATGCATTGAGAAGAAGCCTGGTTTCTAACGGGGGCAAAGTGAATAGACTGCACAAAAGGGAAAACAAAACAGATCAGCTCATAAAACGCTCAGCAGCCTATTTTGTTATTCAGATAAAATAGTAGAAAAGGCTGCCTGTAGTCCCAACCCACCTAACTTTTGAATAAATTGCCACTTAATAGCAGTTGAGTCATAATTTCAGGCCATATGGGCTCGCTTTTGTTTGATATAGGTTTATTTTTGTAGTTTTGTGACTCAGTTATGCCATTGGAATATTTGTATGAAGTTTATTTGGCTAGTTGTGTGGTACAGAAGCGCACATGTTCTAATCTTTTTTTTCTCATCACTCCATCGCTTAGTCCTGTGAAGTTGATGATATTCCAATCTCAATACATCAGATTTAAGATACTGTTTGTTTTTAGCAATAGAGTAACATGTTTCAAGATTCCTCTATGAATGTCTCAGTTGCAGGGATCGCAAATTCATTCTTAAAGGTAGGGTAGGTAATTGCAGAGAGGCTAGCAATAGTAAGCTACAGTGGTGGGCCGTCAGGGTCAGCAAGGCCTTCTCTGCTGGCCTAAACACATCAGATTAAACTGACTTGCACTTTAATACATTTTTTCCATGAATGACTATTAAATTATTCCAAATAGTTCATTCTCTTAATTTCATAGCTTTTCTCTTGGTTGCGCTGCTTCCAGTAGTATGTTTTTATGTTAGAGCTTGTATCCAATCATATTTCAGCTATCATGCGTCGCCGGGTCAAATAAATCTGCCTGGAGGCCTTAAGAATCGACAGTGCGGGCACCTGTAGTATAAAATGAATGGCAATGAAACCGTTTCTTTAACCAATCAGATAATCCGTCAGATTTAATCAGCCAATCAGATTTCACTTTTCACTTTGGAAGCATCCGCATCTGTAGCGAACTGCGTAAACTATATATATATTCCTGTAGATGTAATTGATTTTAATCCCACAAATTAATGTTTTTTTTTTTCCTCCTCGACCCCCAGGAGAAAAAAAAATCCCTTATTCAGCCTGAGCTAAACGCAGAGTAACGGAACTCTATTCAATCTCTCCGGGTAAAAACAGAACTGAGTCTGACAAATTTAAGTTATGAAACGAATGATTTTGAAGGCTAAAGTCCCGCTGATCTCATTGATTGTGTTCAAAACTCTGTGTGAGAGCATGGGGCAGCTGTACACATCGTCATGTTAAGCGGTAACTGTGTGTGCTTCTGTCGAGCAGGCACAGAAGCACACACAGTGTCAGCCATAAAGCGAATGCTAGAAATATGACGAGACAGACACGACATTGTTGGAACTGAAACGCAGTTAGAACCTGTACGACAGTAATTGAAGTCTTTTTGAGGAAAGAATTGAGGATGGATTTGGTGTAAAAAATACTCTGTAGTTTGGGGGAGTATGATGCTTTTTCCCCATGGTGAA